CGCACGATGATGGTGTGTGCTAGGAAGTAGTGCCTGAGCCTCCTCGCAGCATTGACGAGGGCCAGTGCAACCTTTTCTATCTGTTGATATCTGCTCTCGGGGCCTTGTAAGGCTTTGCTCGTGAAATAAACGGGTTTCTGCCCGTCGGGAGTCTCGCGGACAAGAGCTGCACTGATGGCTTCGTTTGAAACTGCCAAGTATAGGTAAAGCGGCTCGTTGTCATCTGGTCGAGATAGCACGGGTGGTTGGGACAGGCTCTGCTTCAGATGGCGAAGTGCGTGTTCGCATTCTTCGGTCCATTCGAAGGCTGCTTCCTTTCGTAGGAGTTTGAAAAAGGGAAGGGCGTGCTGAGCGGACTTCGCGACGAAGCGTGAAAGTGATGTCAACATGCCGTTCATTATCTGTATCGACTTCTTCGACGTTGGAGTCGGGAGGTCGGCGAATGCTCGGCACTTGTCGGGGTTTGCTTCAATGCCTCGTTCTGTTAGGTAGAATCCGAGGAACTTTCCTGCCTTAACCCCGAATGTGCACTTCTCCGGGTTGAACCTCATTTTGCATTGTCTTGCTTGGGCGAAGACAGTCTTGAGATGAGCTGCATGATCGGTGTCTGCTCGAGATTTGACGATCATGTCGTCCATGTATACCTCGAGCATGTCGCCTATCTGTTTGTTGAATACTCTGTTCATCATGCGTTGGTACGTCGCGCCGGCGTTCTTTAGTCCGAAGGGCATTACGTTGTAGTAATAGTTGCCCGAGCTGGTCATGAACGCCGTGCAGCGTTTGTCGCCCGGAGCCATTGGGATTTGATTGTATCCCGAGTAAGCGTCCATGAACGACAAAGTTTTGTAGCCGGCCGAGTTGTCGACCAGCATATCAATGTTCGGTAGAGGAAAAGCATCTTTCGGGCAAGCCCGATTGAGATCGGTATAATCAACACACATACGCCATTTTCCATTATTCTTTTTGACAAGTACAACATTTGACAGCCAGGTGGAATACCGGGCTTCAGAAATAAAATTTGCCTCTAAGAGGTCTTTTACAGCTTTTTCAGCAGCCTCCGTTTTTTCTGGAGACTGCCTACGCCTACGTTGTACTACTGCCTTGGCGGCTGGATCAATGGCGAGGTGATGACAGGCGACCTCAGGGTCGAGTCCGGGCATCTCTGCAGCGCTCCAGGCGAAGAGATCAGCATTCTCGCGCAGACAGGCCTTGATCTGCTTCCTGGCCAAGTCGGGGAGGTCCTTGCCGATCTTCACCCCCTTGGTCGGGTCTGCTCCGAGGGGAACGAGTTCGAAATCACCGTCCGGAATAGGTCGGAGGGGGATTTGCTCGCTGCTGGCCGGTTCATCTTGGTCAAAACGGGCGTCGAGCGCAATGGAGTCGACCTTTGGTGGAGCCTTCTGAACTTCTACCTCAGGAGATGCTCTGTCGGGCTCTTGCTTTGTCTTCTTTATGGGCCTAGTGCTGGGACCCACGTCGACAGTATCCCGACCCCGTGAAGCGGCGTTGAAGCACCGGCGGGCAGCAGCGAGGTCGCCCTGGATGGTGGCTACCCTCCCCCTCTTGGTATAGAACTTCATCTTCAGGTGGACAGTTGAAGGGACCGCTGTCAGTTCCGCCAATGTCGGTCTCCCCAAGATGCAATTGTACAGGGATGGGCAGTCAATGACGAGGAAGCGGACCTTCACCTGTCTTGTAGCAGTTCCTTCCCCGAATGTCACGAGGAGCTCGACATATCCCCAAGGTTTGGACGTCGAGCCGTTGAAGCCTTGAAGGTCCGAACCTATATATGGAGACAGATGGGAGTCGTCCAGTTGTAAGGTCCGGAAAAGCTGAGTGTACATCACGTCGACGGAACTCCCTTCGTCGACCAGGATGCGATGCACATCAAAATTGGCCATCTTTGCCCTTATCAGCAAGGGGATGACTGCGTTCGGTGCTCCGCCGGGGAGCTCTTCCAAGTAGAATGTGATAGGCTCTGATCTGCCCCTCACCATTTCAAAAGTCACAGTCTGAGGGGGAGCTTTGTCGACCAGTTCGTCCAACTTCCTCTTGGCTGAGTTGATGGTGAGGTCGCTGAACCCGCCCCCGTTGATGACCATGGCGGAGGGGAAGTATTCCCACCTGCTGTGTGTAGTCAGGGGCTCCTGCAGGAGCTCGGGAAGTTCGAAATCCTCGGGCCTGGTTATCGAGAAGGCGGTCTGGATTGGCACCGACTCGTCAGATGGTCGGGCATCTTCTTCGGGCTCCTTTTCTTCGCGGGCTTCACGACGGGGAGCGTCGTTTCTTCTGTACTGTGCAAGTCTTCCCCCTTTGATGAGGGTTTCAATAGCATCCTTCAGGTGGACGCAGTCCTCTGTCAAGTGACCATGACTCCTATGGTACTGACAGTATTTGTTTTTATCGACTCCTGGCTTGGCAGGAGCTGGTCGGGGACGCTTGACGCCACCGTCCTTGAAATCTGTGCTTGCACACTCCGCCAGAATACGCTCGCGGGAAGCCGTGAGCGGAGTGTACTCAGTAAACCTGCCCGAAGGGCCCCTTTGTTCCCGGACCTCCCGGGGTCTGTCTTCCTTCCTCTTCTCTCCGGTGCGTCGGGGAGGAGGGTCTTGTCTCGAGCTGCTGCCGTGGTTGCGAGCCCTGGAGTCTCGTGCCCTGTTGGCAGCTTCTCTCTCCTCGTAGTCCATATATGCTCGGGCTTTGTCGAGGAGAGCATCAAAAGTTGCAGGTGGCTCGATGCCTACAGCTTTCCTGAATTCGGTGCCGGGGAGGAGGCCCCTCTCCAGCAAATACCTCTTCATGTGGTCCGCGCAGGGGACCTGTATTGCTTCCCGGTTGAAGCGGTTGATGAATTCCCTCAAGGTCTCATCATGCCTTTGAATGATGGCCTCGAGGGCTGCCTCAGTCTTTGGATGGCGACGAGACGCTGTGAAGGAGCTGATGAACTGGTTCTTCAAGTTCCTCCACGAGGTGATGGAGCCCGGGGCAAGTCCCTTGTACCAGTCCATGGCCGCCTTCCTGAGAGTTGTTGGGAAGAGGCGGCACTTGATGGGACCCCCGACATTGTGATAGTGGAGCATGGCTTCGAACCCGTCAATGTGGTCGACTGGGTCCGCCACTCCATCATACTCCTTTAGGTGTGGGGGCTTCTCCATGCCCGGGGGGATAGGTGCGTCCATGATTGCCTGCGACAGGGGACCGCGGGGGTCGTCCTCGTCGCTCCTTTCTGGAGAAAGAGAAAGGGTCCTGTAGTTGTGTCGGGCACGTTGCTCGTGCTGGGATTCCCTTGAACGTGATGTTCGGTGGGCGAAGGTCACATGTCCGTCTCTGTTGTGCCTCCGGTCGTGCCTTGATGGGTCGCGAACGGGCTCTTCGGCAGGAATGACGGGCTGTCTTTCATACTGGGGCCGCCTCTGCTTTGGTGCGGGAGAGGGGCTCCTAGAGTGTTCCCTGTACTGTCTCCGCGGGGGAGTAGGGTGTCGAACTTCTTCGACCCGAGGAAGTGGAGATGGTGGCCTTTGATGCCTCCTCGGGGGGCGTCGATCATTTTCCAGCGCCCTAAGTCTTTCTCCTTGCGCGAACAGGAGATAGTTCGTCTGGTTGATGGCCGCGAACAGTGCCTGAGCTGTGGCATCTGCCCCGGCAGGGGCTTGGACTTCATAGAACCGGGCAGCCTGGCGATAGGCGAGGGCCTCCGGATCGTCTTCAAGTCCTGGAGGAGTTGTCGAGGAGGACGCAGTGTTCCCGTCCCTGCGGGTGGAAGGTCCAGGGGCGGTTGTCAGGGGGGCGGCATTGTGGCCGGCGCCACTGGGATTGTCCAGGTGCCCATTCTTGTCCGCGGGACCGTTGTTGGCGTCGAGGACGCGAGAGTGTTGTTCTTCACGAGTTGGAGAGGCCATGACAGTGAATGGATTGAGCTTTGGTCTTTGAAAACTGTTCGTTAGACGGGGAAGCTGTTTCCCACAGACGGCGCCACTGATCTGACCTGATCAGAAGGTTTGGACCGTCACGGCTGCTCCGAGCTGAAGGCTTTTTGAACGAGGAGGGGGGGGTACCTGCAAGGCACTCCGATGCTTAAGTCAGTGGGAGTACTAGCAGATAATAGAGTTGAGGTTAGAATTGATGATTACCTGACCCTCTGGAAACAGAGGGTATTTATAGCCCCCAGCGCTGGGCCAAGGTTCCTTCATTGGGCTGGGCGGATTTGGCCCAATGGAGGAACTGCCAGGTTCTACGTGGGTAGTGGGGATCAGCACGTGGTCCCCTTCCTGGAGGTGCTGCGTGAAGTGCGGGCGGACAGAGACGCGGTCTTTACGGAGTATCGTTGGGGCAATGGTGACTGAGTCTGCCCTAGCAAGGTAGCTCGAGTCCATGTCGAGCAGTGCAGCATGGTGTCGAGCTCGACACCAAGACCCCGAGCTGGACAGCGATTGTCGAGCTGGAAGCCAGGGCATAGAGCTGGACGGCAGTCTGTCGAGCGTGGCTTCGTCGCGTGGGCTGGACACTGAGATGTCGAGGTGGACATCAGGGTGTCGGGCATGGACGTTGCGGTCCTTGTGAGTCCCATTGGACTGGGCCTTAGTAATGCTTTTGGGCCTGTCGGGCCCAGTCCAGAACAGTTTCCTTTAAGAATATTGGCAATAAAATCTCACCTCATCATCTCATAAGCTTTAATTAGGTTAGCTTTAATAGTAAAGGAACTCAACTTGTCTTTCAACACGTTCATATTGTGAGCCACCTCTTGAGTTACTAGAATTACCACAATATTCTCATGAATAGTCTTCCTCAAACAAAATGGACTGAAAAAGGAGATAGCTGTTGATGTTGATGTTAGTCTATGTTATGCCTATGGTTGGCTATTTAATGACGATACAGTTAAGGCTGGTTTCATAGTATGTGAGGCTCCCGGACAGTGTGGTATCAGAGCCTCGACAGAAAGAAGGGGTGAATATGGCATGAATATAATAAATATAGTAAGTAAGGGGGAAAAATATTTAACCATGGCACTATCACAACAAAACACTCATCCTATTACCACCACCTCTTCCCTATCACTTCCTAAACTCTGTAAAAAGACCGATACCCATAAAATAGAAAACCTTGTTGAGTATTCTTATGTTCCAGAAGATGCTCAAATTTCCGAAACAGTACCTCCCCTTTTAAGCCCTTATAATATCTTCAAAAAACAAAGAACAATTACCAGATCCATCAGAAACCTAATCTCTACCAATCGCCCTCATATGAAAGAATACGTTCAGTCATCTCGACTAGATCAATGTAGTTTGAGAGCAACAAACCAAGAGCAGTATGTGGATTTAGAGATTCCTCAGAGTCTCATAAATCACTGGAAATCTGAAGGATACACAGCTTTACATTTTGGAGCAGTTAGACTCATCCTCTCTCTCCATGGAAGGAAAAATCAGCCTGTCTTCTGCAAAATAGCTCTCCTGGATTCGAGCTATCTCCATTATGAAAATGCTGTCATAGGGACTGTTCTGACCTCACTTCATGCGGGAAGCGTTGTTCTTACTGTTTTTCCAAATTATAATGTAAGCCTCAACGACAGCACCCTATCTACAAGACTAAAGGTCCAAGTCCAAATCACTGGATCTGACCAAGTTCCAGAGGCCATGTCTGCTACTCTCCATCACCAAATAATCTATCGCCTACAAAATCATTCGATAGATTTGCCTCTCACGGGATGTTTTTCTGATTCTCTGTTAGTAGTTACTAATAGAGAAGAAGATATACCCTCTATTGTTCAGATTCCAAGAAAGATCACGAGGGAAGAACTAACTCAGTTAATTCCTCTTGAGTGGATAACAAACTATGAAAAAATCCATCAAGATAGAAGACAAATACAATCTCAAGAGGCCACCTTTAGAAGATCTGTTGACAAAACGGTCAAAACAATTTTCAAAAAACCAGATGAAGGACCGAGTTCAATTCCTCCTATTTTCCAAACCATGATGATCCGACCAATTCTCAAAGAAGATTGGTGCCCAATTCATGCTGTAACTAGTAAAGGAGAACCTATCTACACTGACAAGATAAATGGTCATTTTATTTGGGACGTAGATCCCAATAAATGTGATCCAGGATGTGAATGTTGGATGCATGATAATGATTATGACAGAGATATTATCCTTCCAAAAAGGAAAAACAACGGGGCGTGCAAACCATCTCCCCCTCCACAAAGAAGATATGATCCCGATAACGGTCCATGGGTAGGTATCCATGATAAAAAGAAACCTCTTCCTATTTATGAGGAAGCTCTCAAGATCCTCAGGAAAGAAAAATTGTTGCCACCAAATGATCCTACTCTGGTTACGTGGTCACCGTCAGACTACTGCAAAGTTTTGGACCCTCCAAAAAATGTGGAGTTAATCCCTTGCTTTATGTACTCAACTACCGCACCAGAATATAGCCAACAATTTCCCGCTCTAGAAAGGAAGATGGACCCAATCACTGGTAGAACATCCAAACCCTTCATTCATCCTAATGAAGTACAACCCGATGGAAAACTCAAACCTTTAACTCAGGCTGAAGAAGTTCTAAACTGGCAATCAGAAAACATGATTTCTCAAAATGATATCCTCCAAAATCTCGACAAAAAAGTGGACAAGATTGCTGAGAGAATAGACGAGACAGATGATTATCTCAAGGTTCTATCACAGAAAATGCAGAAGCATTCCAGAAGCTTAAAGGCCCAGGTGTCTCAGCTGGATCGTGATTTGCGACAGATGTTAGAAGAGAGAACTTTTGGCAAAAATTTTGACCAAAAGGAAAGAGAAATCAGAAACCTACAAGGCCAAGTAAAAGAAATAGATGATTTCTTAAGAGCTTCACACGAAAGAAAGCCCAAGCCTGTTGAAAACCTTTTCCTTGACCCTCCTACTTTCCCTACATATTTCAAACGACCAGAAAGACCTTCTCCCTTCTTCCCTACCTATGTTACTTCACCACCAGATCAGGTCAAATACATACCTACAGCTTACAGACCAAAATCTACCAGAACTACCGTTACCTCAACCTCCAAGAAAAAAGGAAAGGCTGCCTGTTTAAGCGCTTCATCCTCAGAATCCCAGGATTTTCCTGAAACACCTCCTCCAAAATTCCAAAAAGAAGAAGAAATTCCTGATAAAGGTTTCCAAGCCATGGCAATCACTGGAAATTGTGAATTTCCCCAGAAAAGTTACTCTCTTGCTGAATCATCGGCACAAAAAAAAGACGAGTCCTCCTCGGATGATGAAAAAGACTCCTGTCAAGAAACGTCTAGTGATGAAACACCAAGATCCTTTTCATCAGAATCACAATCTGAAGTAAACTACATCCCAAGACTCTTCATGGCAAATATAAAAGAGGAAGATTCATTTTTTGAAGAATCTCCTGAAGAAACTCTAGTCCCTGAAAGGACTAAACCAAATGGTGGTCCTTGGTTCACATTTGATGATATACCGCCTAGTCGTTGGAGAAAGAGACTACTTGAATTTGGAGCATGGCTTGATACCCAAATGATGAAAACAAATGCAGATAGCTATAAGGTCATTGAAGAATTTTGCTGTAGAATGACAGGCACGATGAAGGAATGGTATCACAATCTTGGGGCTTTCAAACAAGATGAGTTACACCGTTTAGAAAGCACAGCCAATATCCTTGGTGTACTCCACCAGGAGTTTATCGGAGATATGGATATGTTCGATAGAAAAAATAGGCAGGAATTCTTTGAGATGAAGTGTTGTTCCCTAAAAACAAAAGACCTCGACAAACACTATCACAGGATGGCACAAAGGTTTTATCTCCTCAATGGGTACAACGATCCTAGTCTCAAGAATACTTATGTATCATCTCTACCACATGAACTCCAGCAAGAAATCCATAGGATGGTAGCAACAGCTAAAAAGGATATTGCAACAATGAGTCTTGGCCAGATTCATCAGGCGACGTTGGAAGCACTTGAAAAGCTTTGTAGCTTTCATCATCAATTTCAAGAAGTTATACAGCAAAAGTCAAAGTTCACCAAGGCCTGCAAAAAACCTTATCTGGAGATTAAGTGTAAAGACAAAAAGTGCAGTTGTGAAACAAAAAAGAAACATCATCATCAAAAATACTCCAAATCTCATAGGAACTTTAAAGGAAAGAAAAAGAAGACCATGAAGTTCTTTAAAAGAAAATCTTTCAGAGGAAAGGGGAAAAACCGGAGATGCTTTATTTGTGGGAAAAATGGGCACTTTTCCAAGGAATGTCCTAATAATACCCACAAAGCCGCAAAACTGATCAACTCTCTTCAACCTCTAGATGGAGACCTAGAATCTTTGTATTCTGAACAAAGTTCTGCTGATGAAGAAACAATTTTTGCCCTTCAAGACTCTGCGTCTGATGAAGCATCATTTTCTGAATCAGAAGATGACAAATATTTCCCTGTTTACTCCTTCAAAGAGATAGGAAGCTCTCTTCCTACTCCACCACTCCCATGTATTGAAGCTCATGTACTAGCGACAAAGTTTTCCCGTCCGAAGAAAGTTATAGCTTATATGGACACTAGGGCCCAGATTACAATGATGAATCCTAGCATTCTCCCAGCAGAATCATGGGTAACACATGCTGCGTACTTTGTAGCAGCAGATGGGAAAGTCTTCAGGACAGATTTAATGACCAAGGAAAAGATAGGAATCAAATTCTTCCCCGACTGCATAGTTTGGACCAAGGTCATTGGAAGTAATCTTCCAAATAAAGATATTGTAGTAGGGATGGATGTATACTCAGCAGCCAATAGACTCCAGATTCTTCCCACGGGATTAAAATTCAAAAGAGAATTCAAACCTTATTCTGGTATATTGAAGTTATATTCACTATCTAAAATCCCTGCTGGATATGAAGAAATCAAGTCCAACCTGCTCAAACTCTGTGCAAACAGCCATGAAACATTCTGCCATCCAAAACCTCTATGGAAGAATAAAGACTTTTTTGTTCAACTTCCTTTTAAGCTCAATGAAGATGTTAATCCAACCAAGGCCACTCATCCAGGAATGAGTCCATCAGATTATACATTGGCCAGAGAAGAATGCAACCAGTTGCTCAAACAAGGTCTGATAGAACCCACCAAATCAGAATGGGCTTGCCAAGCATTTTATGTAGAGAAAAGGTCTGAAAAGTTAAGAGGAAAAAAGAGGCTAGTAATTGATTATAAACCTCTAAACCATTTCCTCAAGGATGATAAATTTCCTATTCCAAAGGCCTCGTCCTTAAATGTTTTCATCAAAGATGCCCAGATCTATTCCAAGTTCGATCTTAAGTCAGGATTTTGGCAATTGGGTATCGACCCCGAGGACCGTTACAAAACGGCGTTCTGCATTCCTAACGCCCAATACCAATGGACTGTGTTACCATTTGGGCTTAAGGTAGCTCCATCACTTTTTCAAAAGGCCATGACTAGAATTTTTGAGCCCATTCTCAATAGTATCCTCATCTATATTGATGATGTGCTATTATTCTCAAAAGATGAAAAATCCCATAAATAACTATTGGGACAATTCCTTCAAATAGCCCAGCGACATGGGATGATGCTCTCTGAGAAGAAAAGCCAATTGGGCCAAACAGAAATTGACTTTCTAGGAATGCATTTTTCCCAAGGGAAGTATCAACCTCAACCTCATATTGCTCAAGAATTGCTAAACTTTCCCGATGAAAAGCTCACTGTTAAGCAGATTCAGCAATTTCTTGGTATAATTAATTATATCAGAGATTTCTTGCCAAAACTGGCAAAATACACGAGTCCTCTATCTCAAATGCTGAAGAAAAACCCCCCACCATGGGGAGCAAAGCAAACTGAAGCAGTAAGAGCCTTGAAAAAGATCGCACAAACCCCATCTGCCTTAAAGATCCCGGGAGACGGTAAAAGAATCTTACAGACGGATGCTAGTGATCATTACTGGGGAGTCGTCTTCATAGAAGAGATTAATGGAATAAAGTATTATTGTGGTCATGCTAGTGGTCAGTTCAAAGAAGCTGAAAAACATTACCATACCACTTATAAGGAAGCTCTTGCAGTTAAGATGGGTATCCAAAAGTTTGACTTTCACTTGAGAGGTCATCAGTTTGAAGTCCAGATGGATAATTCCTTTTTCCCTAAGATCCTCGAATTCAAAAATAAGATGCCTCCTGATCCTCAAACTCTTAGGCTCAAAGATTGGTTTTCTAGATATGACTTTATTGTGAAACATATCAAAGGAACTCAAAATGTGATTCCTGATTTACTTTCTAGGCCTATGAAACCCATCCAGATCATTACTACCAAGCACACTTTTCCTTTGATTCTCATGGTCAAACCATTGCCAACCCGTGCCTCCAAGACCAAAGACTTTCCTCCAGGAGTAACTATATCCTCTTCACCCTCACAGCTTAAGCAGTATGCCAGGAATAATCTTTTTTATTACATGACAAAAATCATAAGAAATAAACTCCCTGACCATACTCCTTATTTCCCAGACACACCATTTCTGCTACCAATTTTAATAAACCCTAATGCTAAATTCACAAAAAACCATTTATGGTATATTTGGTGTGCCACTGCTTTATATTTTATGCCTGTCCTCATACCCACTGAAGCCATGTATGAACACATAATGGATCCGAAGAACCACAGATCCCTGATTTGGACTACTCTTGAATGGTACTCTCCGCTAACATGGTGGAGAGATCAATTAAAACCAATCCTAGACGAGGTCAAGGAAAGGGGGTTAACCTCAGAGGCTATTAGCAAATTCAAGACTGTTTTCTTCATGCACAGACCCTATCAAACAGATCCTGCCACTAAGTTACTTGGTTGTAAGAATTATGTTCATATATGGGAAACCATTGATGATTATCCTCCAAATCTAAAAGTCACAAGAGAATTAATGGAATATGTTAACTTCATCAACCTCCATTAACCAGACAAGATGAATGCTAACTCCACTTGTATAAGTCATCAAGCTCAGTATAAAGATCGAGAGGTTGGAGAAAGCTCAGTTCAAGCCACACAACAAAAATCAGATTCCCCAATGGAAGTTGAATTCTCAGAAGGACACGTGGAAGAAGTTCATAGAAAAATATCAGACCATGCTTACATGATGGACGACGTGTGGGAAAAAGAGACATCTCGGTACGGAGACTGCTTTTCAGAAGAATACTTATCCGATTAGAATATGACTCCAAGTCATGAACCTATCTTTGAAGACTAATTGGACAAGTGTCTCTTATTAATCACAAGCATGTTTATAAATAGTTAAGTTTCGTCCTTTTGTGTAATAGTACTACAAATAATGTATCCATAAGGGATAAGGGTGTCGGACTTTTGAAATAAGGCACTAATGATGCCATGTGTGTGAATAGTGTGGATTTGTCTTTTGTGAATCTCCTTGGCTATAAAAGGAGACCTCTTATAATATTTCAAGTCATAAGCAATAAGAAAAAAACCATCTTGTGTCCTTAAGAACAAAATGTTCTAACTCTCTTTTCTTTCTCCCTAAAAGCTTTAGTTATTCTATTCATGTCATAATTCCCCATACAGATGCAAGTATGCTCTACACTTGCCTCAACATGAGGATCTTGTGTATCAGAAAACATCTGACCATCGATCCATACTACGGTCCTCACTATTATGGAATGTCAGTTTTAATTGTTAGTCTATGTTATGCAAGAAGAGATGAAAGACAAAAAGAATATATTGAATTACGGCTATAAAATAAGGAATAGAATTACATTAATCTACCTACTATTAGACTATTTATACACATCATTAGAGTATAATAAAATACTAAAATATCCTCTAATAAACTTAATCAATAAGATATTCCTAAAATATAAACTAATTCCAACATCATCCCTTAATTTATATTTACACAAAACTGACAATACCAACTTCATCTCTCAAACGAAGAAATTGATCAATTTTGATAGCCTTTGTCAGAACATCTGTGAGCTTCTTCTGGGTGCTACAGTGCACAACTTCTAATATTCCACTATGAACTTGATTCCTCAGAAAGTGATATTTGATCTCAATATACTTGCTTCTCCCGTGCAACATTGGATTCTTGGCAAGATTGATTGCAGACTTGTTATAAATCATCAGCTTTAGAGATTTGTCTACCTCAATCTTCATATCTTGCAGCAAGTTCAGAATCCACACAGCTTGGCATGCAGTCAGAGCTCTTGCAATATATTTAGCTTCATAGGTTGACAGCGCAACAACAGGTTACTTCTTGGAACACCAGGAAATATGACCTCCTAGAAATTTGAATAAGTACCCAGAAGTACTTCATCTGTCAACTTTGTCTCCACACCAATCAGAGTCTGAATAACTCAGAAGTTATGATTCGATCTTCCTTTCCAAAAGAAATAACACTCCATACTTCAGAGTTCCCTTCACATACCTCTGAATTCTGACAGTAGCTTGGTAATGAGACCACTTTGATTTACTCATAAATCTGCTAACCATTCCAACTGCATAGCAAATATCAGATTTGATATTACACAAATACTTCAGAGAATCAACCATCTGTTTGAAAGTTGTAGCATCCACATCCTCTCCATCAGAATCAGAGTCCAACTTCTGATTCGTATCAGCAGGTGTGATAACAACTTTGAAATTCTCTAGCTTAAATCTCTTTAGAAGCTCAAGTTCATACTTCATCTGATACAAAATGATTCCTTTCTCATAGTACACAAAATCCCTAGAAAGAAACTCATTTTCCCAAGATCTGTCATTTCAAACTCATTCATTAGAACCTTCTTGAACTCAGATATTTCTTGTTCAGAACTTCCTGTGAGCAATATACCATTAACATACAAAAAAACCAGAATCATATTACCTTCTGAAGTATGCTAAACATAAACACCATACTCCATCTCACACTTCTCAAACCCTTGTCCTTTGAAAAATGAATCAATCTTCATATTCTAGGCTCCGGGCGCTTGCTTCAATCCATACAAGGCTTTGTGTAATTTGAACACCATCCCTTCCTAATTCTTTTTCTCAAATCTAGGAGGTTGTGACACGTATACCTCTTCTTGTAATGGACCATTCAGAGATGCAGATTTTACATCTAAATGCATCAGAGGCTAATTCCTGTTAGTAGCTATTGCAATCACTAGTATGATCGTTTCATGTCTCACTACAGGTGAAAACACTTCAGAGTAATCCAGCCCAGGCTTCTGTAAAAATTCTCTTGCTACTAATCTTGCTTTGTGTTTGCCAATTGATCAATTTGGATTTAGCTTCTGCTTGAAAATCCATCTGACGCTGATGGCTTTCTTGCCTTTTGGAAGTTCTGTCAGCTTCCAAGTCTTGTTTCTCTCTATAGCATCAAGTTCTTCTTTCATGGCCTGCAACCAGACCTGCTGCTTAAGAGCCTCTTCTGTACTCACGGGTTCAGAGTCTACTAACATTGCACAGCGAATAACTTCTCCTTCAGAGTCTAGTTCAGTTTCTTATAACATGTCAAACTCTGCAAATCTTCTTGGGATGCTTTTGACTTTCTGTTGCTCTGAATTTGAACTTCAGAATCTCGAACACCAGAACTTTTCCCTTCAGAAGCTCTTGCTTCAAAAATTGGACTTTCTCTAGAACCTTGACTGTCTTCAGAGTCTGGAAAATTCCCAGAGTCTAAATCATCATCGGAGTCAGATTCAGAATCATCTTCACCTTCTGAATCTTCTTCAGAGTCAAAGTCTTTACCAGCTTCAAAAACATGTGTTTCTGACTTTTCTTCAAGAGGTCTCTCATCAGAGTCAGGACGAGACCTTTCCAAATTCCAAACTTCTAATTCTTTTACAATGACGTTGCAACTTTATTATTTTTTGGACAATAAAGTTTGACGAACATGTACTGTGGTACCCCACCAGTAACATTACTTTACTTCTATCATCCAACTTCTGTCATCTGGCTTCTGGGACATGTTTGTAACATACATAACCAAACACCTTCAGATGACTAACACTTTACTTATCTCCAATTCACTTCTGAATAGGAACTATTTCCTTCAGCTTCTTCATTGGATATCTGTTAAGCACATAACATGCAGTGGCAACAACTTCTCCCCACAAAGTATGAAGAAGTTTCTTCTCTTTCAGCATGCTTCTCACCATATCAAACAAAGTTTATGATTTATTCTTTCAATAAGACCATTGTGTTGAGGAGTATAGGGAGCAGTAACCTCATGTTCAATTTCATTTTCTTCACAAAACCTTCTGAATTATGTGGAGTTATACTCACCACCACCATCAGTTCTAAGAATCTTCAAAGTCTAGCCATTATGATTCTCAACCTTCAGTCTGAACTTCTTGAATTCAAAAAATACCTCGTGTTTGAACTTTATGAGAGATACCCATGTCATTCTGGTGAACTCATCAATAAATGACACAAAGTATTTATTTCCTCCCGTTGGTGCTAATGGAAATGGACCGCACACATCATAATGCACTATTCCCTAGGCATACTCTGCTCTTGGAGCTACTTCTATGCAAATGGTAATCTTGGTTT